AAAAAAAAAAAAAAAAAAAAAAAGCAAACACTATTTCATAAAAGGACTATGAAGTTCCAATAAATACATGATGTGATAAAAAAGTTTAAATACTGGTATCTAAGACACAAGTCAGTAATTTTTCAGAAATAAAATGTTAGTGAGATGTGGGTCAGAGGAGCCTCTAGAGCGTTACTAGCAGGAATACAGTTGATATAATCTTTCTGGAGGGCACTTTTGCAACAAAAGTTTAAATGTACTAACCTCTGACTCAGCAATTTCACATTCTGGAATTCGTTCTAGCAGATAAGTGGGTAAGTGTGTAAAGATGGAGAGGTTCACCAGTGTATTACTAGTAGGGGCAGAGCGTATGTGTGGCAGTGGGGAGACATTCCTAAATGTCTATTCATAGAGGATCACTCAAGTAAATTATGGTACAACCACAAAATTGAAAATTGTGGAGTTATTTTTTTAACACATAAAAATATTTTCTCAGTAAGTAGATCTTTATTATTGACATGAAATGATAACCATAAATTATCATTGAATAAAAAAGCAAGATATAAGCAGCGCCAGTAAGTATTTAAAAGAAAAACCTTCACAATGATGGGGATATCTCAAAGAAACACAGGAGGCAACCGAAAGAGTTCCCAATGGTCCTAACTAAAACAATTCAAGCAACAAAACTAAGTAGTGTTGGATTATAACCCAAAGTATAAAACAAATATCCATGAGTCTATACTGACATAAATGATTAAATAAATGGGAGGAAGTGACAAATCTCCCATGCAGACAAATTTCAAATAATTTGTGTAGGTATACTGCTGGAGCATAATTCCCCAGTCCTTAAGTGTGATCTATGCATAGTGACTTCCTTCTAAAGAGCACAATATGGAGATGGGGGTTAAAAAGTAATGAGTAGGCTTCGCAAAAAAACCCACAAAAACAAAACAAAACAAACAAAAAAAAGTAATGAGTAACTTTACATGGACAAACACTACTCCAGCCAGGTGATCAAGGAAAAAAAAAAAGAGCCATAAATTATTATTGAGTAAAAAAGCAGGAAGGATATAAGTAAAATTTATGATTCTTTATCAAAGATTGTGTCTAGGTGCACTTCTGCACAGAGGGGACATTTTAACAACTAATATTTTGGTGACAAAATTTAAGGCAATTTATTTTTCTGTATGTAATTCTGTATTATTTGAAATTTTTACAGAAGGAGCGAACTTTGTTTATAAATAGAAAAACTAATGTAGCGATTTTCTTTTAAGAAGGAAGGGATGTATTATGGACGAACCCAAACGAACTTTTTGGCCAAACCAATATGTACACAGACCATTGCTTTGTAATTCTTAACTACGTTAGTACACTTTTCAATTTGGAAAGACTTTAATCTAAGACTTGATTTCAATTACTCTTCAATGAAATTAGTTTGATAACTACTAGCAAAATCTGTATCAATATTAGTATAAAGGATAATGTAGCTCCATAGATTAGAATAAAATTCTATGTAATATATAATTATCAGATTTCAATTTACCATATACTCTTCACTTTCTTCTCTATAGTCATCCAGTTCTTTATCCAGACGAGAGAGTTCTTTATTGATCTCATCAAGTTCTGCTTGTAAGCTCTTGTATTCCTGCAGGCCAGTGTCAAAATTCCTCTTGTACAGTTGTCTTTGTTGATCTGAAGTGATAGGTGGATATTCCCTAAAAATTCAGTGAGAAAATGATTACTTATGTATCCTCAGCCGACCTAAGATCCCGTGCTTCTTCCTCAAAGATGATAAGCTGGTGGGATGTGGAGAATGACATTCTCTTGTTTTTTTGTTTTTTTTTTTCTTCTTTACGGTACGCGGGCCTCTCCCGTTGCGGAGCACAGGCTCCGGACACGCAGGCTCAGTGGCCATGGCTCACGGGCCCAGCCACCCTGGCATGTGGGATCTTCCCGGACCGGGGCACAAACCCGTGTCCCCTGCATCGGCAGGCGGACTCTCAACCACTGTGCCACCAGGGAAGCCCTTGGTTTTGTATTTGTTGCTTATGGGTAGAGAAAGGTGGGATGCAAATGAGTTCTTTTAAGAATGATTATGCTTTTTACGTTGCTGCTCATGTTTTTTTTTTAAAAAAAAAAACTATGCCTACTGATTTTTAGAAATAAGTTGAAAATCATTTATGAAATTTCAGGGTGGTCTTAGGAACTCATTTATTCTGAATACACAACACCACATGAGAATGGATACTTAACGTTAAAAGTGTTAAAACTGGAATTGTGGAACACAAAGGATATTTTCATCACTTCAGCGGCAGAGCAGCTAACTGGCAGCTGGCTGTTTTCTGCTACCACCTACAGTTTTCAGACTGTTTTGAGCATTGTTTTTGTTGAGGCGGTGGTGGGTGTCTTGTTTTTCCTTAATGGAAATCACTTTGTTTGTAAAAGTAGACATTAAAAGGTACATGTATGAAAATGCATGCTCATTGTAAAAATAATCTGGCAATGTGGTAAACTATGAAAAAAACCCTGAAATTCTGTACCACTTGTAATCTCTCAATATGCCAGCTATTCTTTACATATGACAATGATGCTATTAACCACCCATAATCCACTGAGGAAATACTATGAACTGTTTCATGGGACTAAGGAACTTCACAGCAATATGGAATTTTAAATGTCATATCTAAGACAGTCTAAATATCTTCATTTTACAGACAGGAGAAATTAAATGATTTGCTCAAAAGGGAAACAAGAATTCAGAATTTCTAAAAGTTTTCACTTAAATCTTGCATGATACAAGACAGGCAAATATTTTATAGACAGATGACTGAACTAGGCCAAAACTCTTGAGGGGTAAGGGGGAGATGAAATATGAGAGCCACCAGTGAGTATGGGACTTCTAGCTATACTTGCCCCATCCATCCCTCCTAATACCTTGAGAAGCAATGTTTTGATTAACCACAAGTCACACAGCAAATGTTTCTGATTTGTGTCCCATTCCTCAGAATACTTGGGCAAAAAAAGGCTATAGGTCATACACGAGTACAGCTGGCAATGATGGACTATAACAAAACCACTGACACACAAAGTAACATAACCACGACACTAAATTGTTAACTCCACTGTTTACAAAACTGTTTGCCAAAGTCCTCTGGATTAAACTTTTAAAAGACTCTCTTGGTCTCATCGTGAAAGCTTAACTTAAAAGTAAATGCCAAAGGAAAGCCATAGCACTGGTCCGGAATTTTATAATTAGTAAAACAAAGTTCCTCTATACTTGTATTTCATTTACTTGAAAAACCTTGCTTGGGTGACTATTGGTAAAAGCATACAGCACTGGCGAAGTTTATCAGTCATTTTGTGGAGGTGCACTGAAAGTGTTGACATGTTTTTAAGCCAAAGTGCTTTTAAGCCAAACACATTCCCTCCAGGTCAATCTTTATTACAAAAGAGTACTAAGAGGGCTTCCCTGGCGGCACAGTGGTTGAGAGTCCGCCTGTCGATGCAGGGGACACGGGTTCGTGCCCCAGTCCGGGAAGATCCCACATGCCGTGGAGCGGCTGGGCCCGTGAGCCATGGCCGCTGAGGCTGCGCGTCCGGGGCCTGTGCTCCGCAACGGCAGAGGCCACAACAGCGAGAGGCCCGCGTACCAGGAAAAAAAAAAGAGAGTACTAAGGGAAAAAAAAATATCAAGAAACTGTCTCCAGCCCTGGTTGGCAAAGAACGAAGTTGTACCACCCACCCCAGTTGAGGAGGCAACACCACCAAAACCTGGTTGTACAACCATCAGATGCGCAAGGGGTTCCAGCAAGAGGCGCCCCAGTACCTGATCCAGTCCTCCTCCAGCTCATCACAGGACTCGCCGCCCGTCGTGTAGTCTGTTTCATAGTGGTCTTGCTCTGATCTCCTCGACTTTCCTGCCTTGCCCTTCGAGGGAGCCCTTTTTGAAAGCGTCTCCAAGTTACCACTGTTGCTGTAATGAGACTGCCGGAAGTCCTCCACAGGTGAAGTCACTGGCAGCTCCTGAGCCACTTCAGGCACCCTAACAAAACAGGAATCATCTGTCCGCGAGCGTTACCAGACTTTGTCAGAGCACCGAGACCACAGAGGGCAGCAACACGTGGGCCGCACTCACTCAACCAGCCACCTGCCCAGCACTGGGCAGATCCCCAGCTTCCTGCACTCAACCCAGCACCAGCCCAGCTCCCCTAATGCACACAAACAGCTTTGAGGCTCTGATGTAAGGGGAGCTCATTAGTAAGCCTTGTACGAAAAATGGATGTAAGATTTCACTTTAGGAAACACGCTGATCTGGAAGAGAATTATTGACCTGACCCGTGCCAGGGACTTACTCCACAAAAGGCTGTTAGGAAAATAACAATCACGACTCTCTTCTACAGGTTCTTCTAGTTCCATGGAATGCTGAGTGGGGAGAGGAATGCACATACGTATCTACCTTTAGAGGCTGACTCTCAGAGATAACCTCTTGGTAATATTAATTTTAGACTCCTCTGTATCAATTCTCTTTTCAAGATACAATGTTGAAAAATGAAAAATACTGAAAATTTAAACTAAAACAACAAAAAACCTAAAAAGCTTTATATTGTAATGGATGAAGGAGCTTGTTAAGACTTTTTTAAGTTGCACTGTTAATCCTGAAGCCCTGTAGAATGAATGAAATGGAAGAGTTAACATTACACTTATTTTTGTAACGCCAATTATTTAATATTGCATCAGATTTTTAAATTGCATATAATGTTTCTGCCACAAGCAGAAAAACGAAGCCTAACATGGAATAAAAGACCAAGAGCTGTGGCAACTGTAGACTACTTCTGAGTAACAGAAATGCAAAGCTGCACTTTCCCCCTGTAGCAGAGCTGGAGTAGGGCAAGAGGAGAAACAAGGCACCTGAGACTTTCCAACATCAGCCTTGCTATTCAAGTCAACTATTTAAAAGTCTGACAGATTTCGTTTTTTATTGCTTTCAACTTACAGAACTGTCATCTTGAGGTTTATCCACGAGGTGGACTGTTTTCTAGGTGATCCAAAACTGCTTGGTTCTAACTGTTGCCAAAGTCTTAGATTTCTAATCACACTTATTAATTTCTTATAGACTCCTAAAGCTTTGGGGGGGGGTAGCTGGGGTGGTGGTGGTATTTATTTCTTCTTTCTAAATTTATCCAGGTTAACATGGCTTTGAGTGCTCTGTTAATGCTACTTCTAAAGGAAGGAAAATGTGACTTTCTCTGTGAGTCAATGATTAACGAGTTCCTAGACACTCTGCCAGGGACTATGCTTCTTAGCTTCGAGGTGGCAAATAAAACCTTTAGAATGCAGTGGGTTTGTTTGAAGTGCTGCGGGCCAGAGGGGGAGGATGCTAAAGGGCAAAAGAAATTAGAAAAAAACCCCAAAATATTAAGGCGGGCCTCCTCCCGTAATTTTATATTAGGTATTGATATTATAAATCTTCACCTTGGAAGTTTTCCATCTCCCCTCTTCCTACACCCTTTCTAAACAATAACTTGATACAGCATGAAAGCTAAAAACGAAATGCTTGGCAAGAAAAGTATATATAAATTTAACAGTTAGGGGATATGTGAACTCTTAGTCACCTTCAAACCTACTTTTAGAGACAAGTCTGATTAGTTTGAAAATCTGCACAAGCCAGAAGTAACCACCTGTATACTTTCCTCAGTATCTGACTCAGTCCCCTAGGTGCGGAAATCTGCCCTTGTGTAGTTTTTGACTTCCTTCTTTTTTAAACTTGCTTTATTTTCTCTCTCTCTCTCTCTCTCTCTCTCTCACACACACACACCCTCACATGCCTTTGCTGCTCTATCTCACCCCAACAGTGTAGTTATTGTGCACTTCCTTCCGCCCCTGTTGTATTGCAACCTCCATGGGAACACGAACTCCGTATTCCCAGGAGCACCTGGCCCAGTACATGGCAGGGGTTCAAGGTAATTACTGAACTGAAAAGACATTCACAAGAATTCTCTTCATTGAGGACACCCAGTATCAGGGAGGAGGGAGAAACAAAATGCATGATCACGAGTGTCATGACTGTTGGAATGACTGTTAGAATGACATCCATGATATACATGGTATTTTAAAACTGCCATCATCACTGAGGGGAATATCCAAGCCTTGCCAATCAGAGAACTCCATCTTCCTGGACCCAAAAAGGACCAATCAGAATCTTTCCAATAGATTTGATATGTAAGTTTTGGGAAAGTAAATTCCATTCTCTGAATCTGGCGCTAGAAGATCAGGACAGCCTGAGGAATGTGCATGGCTAGCCTGCTACAAAAGAAGCTGTACTGAGAATAAAACCAGCATAGCAACAAGAACCCTGATATATCTTCTGAGTCCCTGGATCATGCTGTGCTCGAAGCTAGCACCATCTCTGGGCCTTAGGCGAACCAGTGAATTCCTACAACCCGTGTAAAAGCCCTAACAGATTATCCTACCAGCCTAAATACTACTACCAGACAACGGTCTCGTTGGGCACTCTAAGGTGTCAGCCTGCCCTGAAAGCTCTGCATGGCATCAACACTCCACTTCTTTGATTTACAAAGGTTAATTCACCCTGGGTGTGGAAAAGAGAGTAGGGAGTGTACCTACTACCTCCCGAATTCACTTAAGAGAGGGTGGAGAAGAAACTGTCTTCAGCTACATTCCGCTGTCTCCTAATCCGGGATTAATTCTAACTGCCTTAAAATTCTAAGGTTAGGACATCATGGTGAGAGCAAAAGGAGCCAGACACCAGAATCATTTCCATATGATTCCATTTTATAAGAGCTCTGATATGGTGACAGGCGTCAAAACAGTGGTGGTGGGGAAAGGGGGGTACCCGTGGAGAAGACAACGTTTTGGGGTGCTTGAAATGCCTCTCTCTCGGTCGAAGCGTAGTTACTTCAGTGACCACATGCGTGAACTCTCATCAAGCTGTATATCAAGATTAGTGCTCTCTACTGAACGTACATTATGCCTCGGGGGGGAAAACATCTTAGTACTGAGGCACCTCATTCTTAATCTGGACCTCAGACAACCTTCTGATTCTAATTCCTTCTCCATCCACTACAATAATAAGGAGGAGAGGCACTGGTGAGTTACTAAACACCTTCAAGAAACACCTGAAGAAAGACAGGCTACGGCTTAACGTGCATCCCTTCGTCATCCAGGAGGACGTACACTGAATCCTCCGTAGCGCTCAATGCTCTGCCACAGACAACAATCAACAATGTCTACTACCCGCCAGAGGCTGCAAGCTCCTCCCGTCATTACTACACACTGTTGCATTCGTTATCCCTTACCTTGGCACCATCCCCATCCTCCCCTTCTGCTGGGTTCTAAAACTAAGCATCATATTTGCATTTTCCAGGCCTTCAGAAAACTTCTAGGGTGTACTCCTGGAGTACAAACTGGTACAACCCTTATGGAGTACAATTTGACGACATCTATCAAAATAAAATATGCAATTTCCTTTAACCTGGCAATTGTGCTTTTAATATGTTTCCTCCAGATACACTGACATATTTGCAAAGTGATAAAGGTGCAATGTGCAAGTTCATTCTCTGCAGAGGTTTGTAATAACAAGACATTGGGGAAAAGTGTGCATCAGTGTGGGATTAATAAAACAAATTTTAGTATACCCATTTAATGGAATATTATGTAGCTATAAAACAGATCAGTAAACTCTGTATACTGATATGGACAATCACGAAGATATATTGCTAACAATGCATTTAATATGCTATTGTCTTTTAAAAGGAAAAAATAACCAACATCATATTTGGCCAACATATTTACTTAAAAATAACCCCTGGAAGGACGTAAAAGAAATTGGTAACACTAGCTGCCCCTGGGGAGAGAAACTAGACAGCTGGGGACAAAAGGGATTCCCTTTTGCTCCTTTTAAATTTTACATCATGAATATACTGGCTCACTGAAGAATAAGTAAGATATTTAAACTGTTCCAAATGAATCTGTGAAAATATCTTAGTTCTCATAACAAGGGACAGCATGTGGGAACGCTGTGAAGCCCTGCAGGCCTTACAATTAATTTGGAGGCACAGCTGGTCACAAGATGCATTGTAGGTATTTATTTTGTATGCATGGAAGTCATGCAAATCATAGCTTGACCCTTTTACAAGGATTGCATCTCTGCTGTGTACCTCTGCCTCTCATAGCCTCACATGATTTGGTTTTTGTCAAAATCCAAAGAGAAGGAGAAGAGAGAAAATGCTCTTCCTCCAAATCATTTACAACTGAAATCAAAAGTAAGCTTGATGCTGAAGACCAAAATAAAACATACAGAGGGTAAGGCAGAATGCCAGTCTACTTCCAAATTCCATTCCAGGGTGGTAATAAAATCTATTCTCTTCAAACTGATTCCATACTTAACTCACCTGCTGGTGTCATCTTAGGGGCTCCAGGCACCCAAACTACTATGCACTCAGAGTGGATCTCTACAAACTCAGCCCCCTAAGTGGCGGTGGAGGTTGGAGATAAAACTTTGAACAAAAATTTCCCGGCAGATAAACCTTTAACTTAGAACGATCAAATCAGCTAAAGGGAAGGTTTATTTTTTTGGTCTACGAAGGAACTTGGAGTTCTAGAATTATATACAGGAACGTTAATTTATCATCCTTAGGCAAACTACATCCAAGTCCTTAACAATATCCCCAATATCTCTCTCTTGTCATTAAGGTGAATTAGACTTAGACTTCAGGGTAACCTAAAACCGCAACAGGGATACTATTTCCATAACCTGAATGGCACCTACTCTAGGCCAGAAACTCACTGTGAGGTTTTTCACACCACAGGTAAAACAAAATCTAGAGGTTTTATCAGTTTCACATCCCCTAGCAAAAGAGATCTAATAATTATAGGAAGGAGGAGAGACTGAGAACCACACTTAGCTCTGCTATCAATCCGTAATACCCTTCCACCCTCATCTAAACTTCAAAACCAGAAATAGGAAAGAACTACATTCCGCCTCCACCTATAAGGCAGAGATCAGTCTCCAGCCTTTGTGAAAACTGTTGGGTTTTTTCTTTTCTTTTTGCAAATGGCACAAAACAGCAACTGATTTATAAACACATGCAAATACTCACTTTTTCGGACTCATTCTAGCAAAAGAAGGAAGACGCTACTTACGGTGTTGTTTTATAGGAAGACTCTGGATACAGTCGCTTCTCGTTCACTTTACCATTGGAGGAGTAGGCCACGGGGCTGTCCACTCTCTCCCCGTAGTCAGAAAGGGGAGGAGGCATGTCTTGTGTGCCTGCAGAAACGTTTTTAACCTAAGGAAACAGCCCCAAGAGACTCAGTTATTATTTAGCCTGTAACATAAAAGGGGGAAGAAATGAAAGAAAAATATCATATATAAAATTATCTAATATTTATCGGGCTCATTAAATATTATTAACCTATCTGACTACCTTGTTATTATCCAGTGTTAACAGTCAAATCAGCACAGAAATGGTGCTATTGTTAGTTTAACAAATCCAGAATCAATTACAAACAAGAAAAAAATCCAAATTCCCTGATCCTCATCCTGATGTGATTAGGTTTAATAATTATCCACCCCATCTTAGGAAGACTAATCTCATTTTATCCGGCCTAGGACCGAGTTAGAACGAGAATTTTCATTTCTAACAAGTTCTAAGGGAATGCAGGGAATGCTTATGCTGCTGTCTGGGCACCACTCTTGGAAAACCACTAACCTAGCACAAAGAACATTGATTCTTCTCAATCCATTCACCCTATACATGGAATGTTAAAACTACTTTAAGAAGCTCAAACTGATTTCTGCTATGGTTCTTTAATAACAGATTTGTTTGTTCTCCCTTTACTTTCTCAATGGCTCTTATCACCAATAGCCTACAGTCACAGCATCACTGGCTTCCCTCTCTACCTTTCTTATTCCATTCTGATGTGTGAGTGAACGTGTTCTAAGAAGTAATACACGTTGGAGATGATGCCTTGTTAACATGAAAGGTTTCCCAGAGAACCTTTGGGAGAAGGTTTTGTATCTAATAAGCATAGCCAATTAGAGTCTTAACATTACCTGTTAGATGTAGTAGGTCCAACACTCTTTAAATTTCACCTAAACATCTTCACATTATTGCATATTACTCTGCCAGAAAAATAATAACTGCTAAGCCCAGACAAGTCACTGAGTTGGTTTGAAGTCAAGGAATAAAACTAAGGCGTGGGGGGGAAAAGAAAAAAAACACTAAAAATTATGTCTGTGAAAAAGAGCAACTTTTCAAACTTAGGGATGATGGGATTGCTTTAGCTTGGTGATGAGCACAATGGCATCCAATTACCTGGGCTCACTCCAGATCTGCCAACTACCCAACTACAAGTTCTAGAAAACCTCAATATCTTCATCTGTGAGAAATGGGGACGCTACCTGCTTCATTAAGTTGTTTTGACAATTAAATGAGATGACGAGGTATCACATTTAGCACAGGGCCTTTATGAACACAGTAAAGACTCAGAAGATGCTGGTTTCTGGAATTAAAGCCATTGGATCTAAACAAAGAATTTTTACAAGTATTTGAAGGGGATGGCAGACTTTTATTTGGATTATTTTGCTATTATAAATCTTCACAATTAGATTCAACATAGCGTATGTCCCTGCCACACACACACAAACTTTACATTCTGTTGTCCGTCTAGCATAGCATTAAAACGTGACCTGCTCCTTTCCTGTCACTGCACTATCACATGTCAAAAGATATTTACCTACCCACCCCTTGAAGTACATAAAGGTATTTAATCTTGATTGTTTAATATTCCCATGAGTCAGAAAGGAATGGAATCACTTCCTTCTGAAAGTGGAGTTTGGCAGCAACTGGGAAACCAGGGGGTGGGTTGCCAGGGAGTGTGCTCAGATCCCACCACGGGGGGGCCGGGTGGGAACCATTCTTGGCACCTACTGAATTCCTGAGGACTTGACACCATCACTAAGCTTCACAGGCAAATACCCGGCCAAGCCAAAGGCGTATTCTAATTCTGGAGGCTTCAGATTTAAAAGACCTCCCTTTCTTAAAAACCCATTTAACTCTTCTCTTTGCAAATTTAGCAGAGGGTGCAGAGCTCATGGATTTCCTACTGACCCTGGCAAACCGGAAACCAAAACCTTACAAAAGAGGTGTCTGGGTGTCTTTGCAGAGACTGCCTACTGCCCAGAATGGAATGTTCTTCCCCCTTTCTTTGCCAGCTAATCCTTAAGTGGACTTCAAGTCCTGGCTCACTACCAAGTAGGGATGGTGCCACTACCTCCCGGGGGCCTTCCACAAACGTCCCTGCTGGATGAGGTGCCTCCCTGTCCTCCTGTCTCGCCAGCACCTGGGCATACAAACCTCCCAGCAGAGCGCGTGTGTACAGACTGTTTACGCACAGGGTGACGCTGCTCCCACACCTCTAACTTCAATGGGCGGTGGGCTGCTCTTAAAGCCACCACTGTCTGCCTGCTACAGCATGCCACATACTGAACTGAGGGATCATTTAGTAGGTACAACCTTACAGGGAAATACTATAAGCAGATAAGTTAGGGGGTCCCTGGAGAAACAGAACCAGGAATGGCTTTCTTTTTTGTTGTTGTTGTTTTGTTTTTGTTTTTGTTTTGCGGTACGAGGGCCTCTCACTGTTGTGGCCTCTCCCGTTGCGGAGCACAGGCTCCGGACGCACAGGCTCAGCGGCCATGGCTCACGGGCCCAGCCGCTCCGCAGCATGTGGGATCTTCCCGGACCGGGGCACGAACCCGCGTCCCCTGCATCAGCAGGCGGACTCTCAACCACTGCGCCACCAGGGAAGCCCCAGGAATGGCTTTCTTGACATAAGAGAAGCCATTTTGTGACCTAAGCCTGGCCACAGTGCTCACCCTTGAACAGGTCTCAGTAATTTATGATCTTGAGGGAACAAAGGAATGCAGGAACGGGGAAAAGGCACTCAAACGACAGTGCAGTGATAAGGCAGAGTCCTAGTTCCTCCTCAAGGGATACACATCATAATATATCTTTGAGTTCTGCAGGTACTAAGGACCCCCACCCAGGTGGAGGATGGAATGATGATGGTGCCACTCTTGACTTCAATCAACTAAAGCTTGGACTCTGTGGACCTTTGCCCCAATTCTATGCTGAATTCTCCTCCGCTCAAGCCCCTTCACGAATACGCAAGTACCCTTAGCTTAAAACTTCCCTAAGTTCACTGTTCAGACAGACACTGCTTTGGAGAAGATCCCCGGTGTTCCCCTCACTTGCTGCAAGTAATAATAAATTCTTTCTTCTCCCGATCTTTGGCTTGGTTGTGTCTATCAGCTCAACAGCCACCACGAGGTGAACCCAGTTTTCAGGGTTTTTTTCAGAAAAAAACCCTTTTCAGAAAAGGGGAAGCAAGGGCTCAGGGTGCTAGACAACTTTCCCAAGGACCCATACCTAATAAATGGTAAGGTGTGGTTTATATACTTCAAAGCCTCAGCTCCAATACACTGCCCCTCCCTGGGCAGCCTCCTACCTTCCTTCCTCTATGGGTCTTCAAAGCCCAGCCCAGTACCCGGCACAAAGCAGGAGCCCAGAGTCTGCCGCATAAAGGTTACTTCATTTATTACTGTTCTACTTCTACACTGTATATATCCAACCGCCTTATCAGATGAGCTGCTCTGAGGTGATGTTTATCTCTTAGAGTCAGCAGAACGAGACTAGCCCGAACACTGACTTCACCCTCCAGCACAGGTCTTTCATTACTTCAACCTTCTTCATACACGTGCACAAAAAATTCCAAGGCCATGCTCGCTTGGGCAGAACATACACTAAAATTAGAACAATACGGAGAAGATTAATTATTAGCATGGTCCCTGCGCAAGGATGACATGCAAATCTGTGACGTGATACATAGTTTTGAAAAAAAAAAACACCCAGCCAGACTCAAAGGTGAATAAGAAGCAGCCTCTGTCCTCGAAAGGAGCTTAAGTGTCTAGAGGCAGAAGCAAAATATATTTGTAAAACAAGGAGTAAGTTCATTTTTTTCCTTTTATGCTTCGCGTTTCCCAAAAGAAAATATTACTTTTTCTCACGGTACCAATGCAAAGTGAGTATAAACCGGCTGCTTTCAAAGGACAGTGGGAGGAAGCTGGGAAGCCCCAGTGAGGAGGGACCAGTATTAGAAATTTATGAGTCCTCAACCTGTGCTTCCTATGATGAGAAAAGGGATTTGAGACTCACTGTTATTACTGATAGGATCCCAAGCCAGTCCATAATACCTGATGATGTAGCCAAAGTTCTTTAAAACAACAACAATGAAACAACCCTACCATTTTAATAACTATAGTAAAATTTTAAAGACTTAGAACCTGAGAAATACTTGGCTTAATTCTGAACAGCAAATGGTGAACAGGTTTCCTCAAGTAACTTGAAACTAGCTCTAAGAAATTAGGGGCACAAGAAAGCAGAGTGAAAAAACACAAATGCAGGAAGATTTGCCGCCTTCTACTAAGCACTGAGGGGAAAGGAAAGTTTGAGAGTCAAGCAAACGCTGGAACTGCTGCTGTGAAGCCAAGAGAAGCCTTGGGGCCTGGGGGGCTGATCCGGGGCTCCCACCCGCAGGCCCTCCGGCAGGGGAGCTGGGGTTCGGGCGCAGCCGTGGGGCGGAAGGGCACTACACGCACAGAAATCCACACGGCAGCGACCAGCTGGCCGCTCTTCACTGGGATCTGCCTGAAGAGTTCCTGGCCCTAGTGGCACCCTTGCTGCACAGACAGACTTTATAAAAGGGAAAGACGAGACAGGAGAAGACAGACGGGCTGAGGCCGAGGAGAGAAAAGACCCTGAACCAATCAAAGAATGACACAGGCAGACTCTAGAGACTAAATTCAAAAAGGACAAGCACTCTCACAGACCATGTTTAAGGAGCAGGAATTTTTTTTTTTTTTTTTTTTTTTGCGGTACGCGGGCCTCTCACTGTTGTGGCCTCTCCCGCTGCCGAGCACAGGCTCCGGACGCGCAGGCTCAGCGGCCATGGCTCATGGGCCCAGCCACTCCACGGCATGTGGGATCTTACCGGACCGGGGCACGAACCCGTGTCCCATGCATCGGCAGGCGGACTCTCAACCACTGCGCCACCAGGGAAGCCCAGGAATTATTAATTTAAGGGGACAGGAAACGTTTTACCAAGATTCACATTCCAATCAAGAAAGAACTAAAGTGTCTCTGAAATGTCAAAATGAAATAAATTCAAGTGAAATAATTTCAAAAGATCTTCACAAGAGGTAGTTATAATGAGGACAAATTTTTAT